TGGCCTTAATCTCAGAAGTATCTTTAACTGAAGAGGTTTAAGAGAACTTTGTTAAGTCTACTGGAAACTCTCAGCCCAGCCCCAGAACCTGTGCTTGAAGGCTGGCCCTGGCCTGCTAGGAATGTTGCCACCAGCGCCGTGCTCCATTTTCTTAAGTTTCGGAGAGGATGGCAGATGCCCCTTGACCTCTAACTGCCTGCCACATTATAAAGGCGCTATATATACACACACGAGACCTTACTTAGATGTACTTTTGGAATCTCACAGTCACGAGACCAAAAGGATTCTGTTCAAAATTGTATATCCTATTTGATTTAAATTTTCTCATTATACGAAACCCAAGCAGTAGGCTGTTCGAGGTACTCCAGGGCAGGGACTGCTGAAAGCGTCCGGGGTAAGACTGATTTCAACAGTTTACCACAAGGGAGTAACTCAAACCTCAGGAAACAAACTGGGCATAGAAACCAACAGAGAATGACAAAGTTCGAGCAAGAATCTTTTATACCATTAAAAACAACTGAACAGAAGGTGTCCTGTTCTCATACTCCATTAGTAAAGGATCTTGGAAGGGTCAACACTTCATGAGACTCAAAAGAATAGAAACCCTCACGCCGGCCCCAGGAGGCTCTCCTTCCCCACACAGAGACAGACTGGACAGAACCATGTTCTCAGTTACGCTTCTAGAAACCAGCAGGAGAGACAGAGCTCTGTGTGCACATACTTTCCCACGCCAGTGTGTCACAAAAGTAGTAACAGAGCGGTTCAACTGCTTCCAGACCTCAGTGTGATTTGCTCCACTACTCATTTCTATGACGGATAACATCTTCCAAACCTGAAATTGCTTGCATTTTCCCCGCAGTCCTGTCTTTAGGTAGGGGGCAAGGACCGGAGAGGTGCAAGGAGTTTCTCCAGGGCGACCCCACCAATTCTGGCCTGGGTCCTGCCTCAGCCCTTGCTTCAAGTGCACCCCCCAACCACCATCTGCAGACAGACCACGACCACACGATTTCCTTCCAGCGCAGGCTGCAGGGGAAAGGGAGGAGGTACACTGTGAGACAACGCTGAAGTCAGCGGCTTGGGAGGCTCTGAGTCAGCACCTTCAAGAGTGGTGGTTGGGAAACAGGCTTCTCTCCCACAAAACCCCCAAATGTAGCAGTGACCCAAGAACTCAAAACCAACGCAAACAATTCCAGAGCAGGAGCCCCAAGCTGACCACAGGTGCCAAGGACCTGGGGGCTGGAATTCCTCACCCACTGATTCACAGCTGCCTCCTGAAGGAGCCGGAGGGTTTAAGAGGGTGCCGGGTGCCACAGCCCTGTGCAAGGAGCTGCTGCAGGAACGTGTGTTATCGAGTCCTGCCTGGAGCTGGGCTCAGTTTTAAGTCCTTCCTAAATTGTCAAGCACAACAATGATCTCACTCCAGAACCTATTTTCTCCAGGAAGCTTCATGTTTCAACTAGCTGTTGCTTTTGAAATGAAGGGGTGGAGGAGGCTCATTGGGGGTGCAAGGGAAAGAGAGTCAAAACGTTCTAATCAATGATTTACTAAAGTCATGCAACTTCAAGTACCTCTTAGGATATAATAACATATGAAAAAAGAAAGATACAAAACTGTATGTAGTCACAAACCCACCCACATTAACTTAGAAAAAAGTTTAGATGGAAACAAACTTCTCAAAATATGAGTCATGAAATTATAGATGATTAAAAAAATTTCTTTCTACTCTTCAGAATATTCTAGACTTAAAGATAATCCTCCAGCCCTCTGGAAAGGTCATTCTCTTACTGAACACAGAGCTTTGGAAGGGACGCATGTGAGACAGTGAGGGAGAAAAGAGCCCCTTGTCTGGTTTGCCAGATGGTCCACATTAATCCTGGTCACCAAGAAGGAGACAGGCAGCACAGACTGACCACACATCCATCAACTTCCCTGTATTTTTCAAGTTTCTTTAATGATTGTGTGTCGTTTTTCCAGTGGGGGCACAGGAAGACATTCTGCCTCAGCAATCCTGGAGAGTGAGGACTCGGAGCATCACTCATCTGAGAGCCTCAGAGGCTTGGCAAACCTCCAGTGTTTCTACCCCGTGACATGCGAGTCTCCCGACACCACAGGATCGTACGGGGTGAAGGGAAGAGCAGGAGAAAGAGCACCTGGGGCCTTGTGGATGCAAGGGCTGGCAGAATCCTGAGCCGCAAGATGGACTCAGAATAACTGTGAATTCTGGGGGTTAAGCAAGAAAAGCTGAGAGTTCACGCAGTTGTAGAATATTCTTGTTTCCCAAATGGCAAGTTTTCCCTACACTCACCCCCATCTCCCACTCGCCCTGGACCTCCCAGGCTCCGCACTTTATTTGGAGAAAGGTCCCCACTCAGAGGGGGAGGCGGCCAAGGAGGGAGGCATCTGGCATACGCCAGGCCAGGGCCTTCATCTCTGTCTTCCCCTTCAAGTCTCACAATAAGGCACAAACAAGTGGTGCTGGCCCACCTTTAGAGGCAGGAAATCAAAGGCCATGGGCTGACAAACCGTGGAGATGAAATGTGTGTGTGTCGTCTAACTAGGAAATCCCTGCTCCCAGGCAGCACGGACACAGCGGCCTTCTGGGGTGAAGACACATCAGAGGGTTAAAGAAAATGGAGAGACAGCTCTGTCATGTTTGCTAATATCTCTTTAAAAGGAAAACACTGCTAAAAAGTCAATTACAGACACTGCAGGCTTCTTGGCAATTTTACGGTGGTTACTAAGGGGAATGGAAACTCCACCATGCTGGAACTGATTAGGCAAAGCCTGCGGACTCTCAGGGTGAGGTGGGCCTCTCCTGCCCCCCAGGCACCAGCCTCGGCTCCCCAGGGGGTGCGGCACCAACTCATGAAGGAGCCAGTGTTGGGTGCGCCCTCCTTTTGTGCCAAGTAGTGTGCTAGGTGCTTTACACACAGTCTCTTACTCCTCACAACTCACACCACCAGTGTGTGGTATGATGGGATTTGGGCCCAGGCCTGCCTGCTACTGAGCCCGCATTTTTTCTGCTAACCCAGACAGAACCATCCAGCTAATACCAATCTATCATCACTCTGATGGAGAAAGAGTCAATCCCTGTTGCATGTTTGGCACATCAAATCCCGATTTCTCCATACGTTACTGTGCTGTGGCATTCCTATGGCCTGCGCTTTCTGGCACAATTCCAATTGGAACATTGGCCCTCCTGCCCCATGGGTGATCATGCTGGTCTCGCAGCGAGGCCTGCTGCAGGGAGCTGCACCTTCTAACCCGCGTCTGTGCAACCCACCATGGAGGGACGGTGAGTCCTCCCAGGGGACACATCGTTTACATGCTCCTGATCTGCTTCAGATGCACCTCGTGCTTTCTCTTCCCAGCTGAACCCCAAGTCCCTTTCAAGTCAACTCTTCCTGATGGGAAGACCATTCTCAAAGAGGGAATTCTAGAAACCACAGAATAATAGTTCATAGAAGAAGCTACAGTCTGCCTAACATGGTTCTGCTTACAATCTTTGCAGGTGGCATGGTATTGGATGGAACGGCCCCGCTGAGACATGATTTTAAAGTATCTTGTCAGAATGCAACTGCAGAATGGGAACTGCCAACTCGCCACGGAACTGGAATCAGCGTAAAGTCAATGTCAATCAATGTAAATGTGAGCAGATTCAAGAAATTCGGCACTCGAACATGACACAATGAAAACTTGGCTTGGCTCTAGTTCATTCAAAAAATAAAAACTCTCAAACTTTTGGTAGTGAAATTAAAAACAAGCTCAAGCGTGGAATGTGACTATTTAACAGAAAAGTGAATGTATCGGTAGGATGTGTCGGTGGAAGTTACGCGACCCAGGAAACAGATGCTCAGCTGAACTCTGGACTGAGACTTCATCATCCAGCTCGAGAAATAACGCGCCCAATTCTGTGACGCACACTCAGCAAATGACAGAGCCCTCGGAGAAGGAAGACACTTGGGTGTCTAGCCTAGGGAAGAAGAGAAAACAGAGAAACTGAACGAAGCTTGCAGATGTTTGACAGGTTGTTCCATGGAAAAGGGAATCTAGAAAGTGCACCATTGGGTGGACGTTGCTAAGAAACAAGCTTCTGCTCAATATAAAGAGGAAGTTGTGGCAGGCGGAATAACAGCCCCCCAAGACATCCACCTCCTAATCCCTGGAACCTGTGACTGTGTAACCTTACGTGGTGAAAGGGACTTTGCAGATGCGATTAAGCTAAGGACCTGGGGATGGGGAGACGTTCCTGAGTTGTCCTCGTGGGTCCTACGTGAGAGGACGCAGGGGCGTCAGGGAGAGAGCTGTGACGACAGAAGCAGAGGCAGAGTCGGAGAAAGACCTGGGGACGCCACGCTGCTGGCTTTGAAAACGGAAGAAGGAGCTACAAGCCAAAGAACACAGGCAGCCTCTAGAAACTGGAAAAGGCAAGAAAACAGGTTTTCTCCTAAAGCTTCTGGAAGGTATGCAACCCTGCTGGCACCTTGGTTTTAGCTGAATAAGATCCATATCAGACTTCTGACCTGCAGAACTGTAATAGAATAACTGTGTGTCATTTTAAGTCAGTAAGTATGTATGGGTTTTCTGGAGCAACAGTGAGCAATGGCTAGAATGTCTACCAAGTGGATGGCCATTATCAGCTCCAGTGAGCTCCCCGTCCCAAGGAGGCAATCAAGAAGACATTGAATAGCTCTACCTGTCTCGATTACTGTGCAGGCCAGTCCTGCGTTAATGGGAATGAAGCTGCTTGGCTCACAGGCAGGCCCCTCCAACTCTGAGCCCACACTTTATGGCAGTGCCCTCTGCTATTGTATACGGCATGCCGGTCCCCACCTGCTGCTTTGTGGTGGGCAAGGCTGTCCACAGTCTTCTCCCAGGACAGCCGTGGTAGTGACACTTTCCACCACCACCCAGAGTAGAGGGCAGGTTTGGGAGGCTGTCCTAATAGCACCCGGGCCTTGGTCTGGCTCAGAGCAAAAGTGCTTGCTGGGGACACCTACCTGAGCAGAGGACTCCCTTGTTCCTGGCACAGGAGAAGTTGTCACACTCGCAGAAAGGCCCGTAGATCTTCCCGAACTCGCTCTCGAAGCAGGAACACTGGTTGCAGCTGCACTCCCCGCGCCCGCTGCACAGCGGCTTGCCCTCCGCCTCCCGGCACAGGTTCTGGTACACGCTCTGGTTCTCTCCCTCCTGGCACTCGCACCTGGTGCCCAGGTGGCCAGGGTTGCACTCGCACAGGCCGCAGACGTAAGTTCCGTTCCCACTGCATCTGGTGCTGTTGGGCTCCAGCCCTGCACTGCAGCCGCACGTGCAGTTGTAGGTGACCCCCACCTCCAGGCTGTCCCGGAATCCCACGGGCCGCAGGGCGAACGTGTACTCCACGTGTCTGCCGGGGCAGCTCCGGGCCTCCACCGACACCTCAAAGGACGCCTGGGCAGAAGGAAGAGAGGGAATACTGTGGCCCTCCCGATCACCCAGGGGCCACCCAAGCACAATTCCTCTAGACCCTTGATGACGAGCAGCTGCTAACTCCAGCACTCTCCATGCAACGGGTAGAACCACCAAAATGGCACAAATATTAATAGCAAGAGGCCTCAGCAACAGCAAGCTCTTGCACTTTGTGGAGAAGAGACTGTTCAGGCGTGCTAATACGTGACCGGCATTGTGCTTGGTTCCTAAACATTCGTTATCTCTGTGCAGCCTCATGCCCCTGAGGAAATGGGCTTCTGCAGAAAGGTACAAGGACTCACGCACATTTCCACAGTTCTGGTTCTGCCCTTTCTTTTCTCTTCTGTCATATCCTCTTCCCCCCACCCCTCCTGCAGGACGCCTCTTCCCTGTCCATTTTAAGTCGTTCAGTCAGTGAGTTATTTCCTGGGCGCCGCCTCTGTGCCAGGCCTGGTGCTAGACGCAGGGCACGGTGGCACTCCTACTCACCAGGCGCTGGGTGCAGGGCACCCACCTGCCCTGTAGAGAGGGCTCCTTCACCACCGGCGAAGGGAAGGGCTGACTCCCGAGCTCTCTGCAGACTCACCCAAAGCCCCCGCGCCCCAATTCCTCCCCATGAGTGATTCTCACAGCTGCATTTTCCAGGATCAGCCCATGGCCCTGAGGTCTTAAAGAAGAGTTGTCTGACGCAATGTGCCATATACGTGGAAAGACTTTCTTTTTACACAAAACATGTAAGGAAGTGTTTCTAACTCTGGAGTTTCTCCCGGGTTGCCTTGGAAACAGGCAGCAAGGTGGGCCTCGCTGGGTGGCAGATGGTGGCAGAGAGAGGCCTGTCGGCCGCCCACTAAACTGGGATGTCAGGAAAGCAAGGACCAGGCTCAGTTTGATTCTTCCAGGAAGTAGAGCACAACTCCCCGCCCTCTTCCTCACCCCACTGAGGAAAGGGGCCACGAGGGGTTCGAATCACCCGGCAGGGCCCTCGGAGCAGGGTGCTGTACACGCAACAGAAACGCACAAGGCGGGTGCAGGCACGCCCTGATGGGACATCACTCAAAGTGCTCTTCCCTGAGCGGACTCTTCCTTGCTCCTTGGACAGACAGGCCCCGCCACTCCATAAACTGCCTCACTGCATCTGGGCCCAGATGTCTTTATCTTTCAAAAGCCTCTTCAGATCATTCTGCAGCTAAAATTGGGTTAGAAACCATTTTCAGGTGTTATTATTCTTAATTCTATTATTTGGGTTGAAATAAAGCTAATTTTTAAAAAGTCACCAACTTGCTTTACCAGCCACTCTTCAGTAACAGTGTTTGAGAGCACTGAAAATATTTGTTTAAACATTCTACAGGTCCCACAGCTTAAAGATCGTTACTACTTCTAACGGCCTCCCCTCAGATACTGTGACATCTAGGGACACCCTGGGTGGGGTTGGGGGTGTGGGACTGAGCAGGAAGACAGGCCCCTAAATCCTGGATAAAGTCCTGCTTGGCAGCAAAGCACCACTCCAGAGGCCCAGACAACAGAGACCCAGGGCTCAGCATAGCCAAGAGTCTCAGCAAGATGTGCTTCTGCACAGGTGAGCAGAGGACAATGACCAGGAGCCCACAGTCAGAAGACCCTGGGAGCACCAAGCCAGCTGCAGACAGTTTGGGCTAGTTCCACTTTACCCTCTCTTGGGGTGGGGAGGAGGAGGAAAAAGGGAAAAGATCGACAAGAGCAAGTTCAAGGCTAAGTTCTGAGGCCTCAAGGTACAGGGAGGCTCTCAAGGGAAAGAAACAAGATAGGCATCCACTCAGACACTGAAGTCTGTTCATGAAAACACTAATACTTACCGGTTGCCAAGTGTCTGCTGTGCACGAGGCACCGTGCTGGGCATTTCCACCAGCATCTCGTGTATGTGCACGACGAGGAGGCACCCTGACCTTTCCAGAGAGGAAGCAGGGTTGGTGGGATCTGGGAGGTTAGTCTGGCGAGGTGTAGGGCTAGGACAAGAACTGGGCCTGTGCCCGCCTTAGCACATCACCTCTCAGAAGTGGGGAATGGGGAAGGTGTCCAGCGTCCAGATCTGGGTACAGAGGGAGAGCCAGCCTAGATCCCTGAGGGGACCACTTGATGGTGACCCCAAAGTGGCGGCCAGAGGCTTCTCCAAATCTCCCTGCCTTGCAGTGGGAATGACCTGAGTGTGCAGATGGGAAGGGGTGGGGCTGAGCCCGACCGAAGCCACCTGTGGGGCCCCCAAGAACGCAGATGGGCTGATGCCATCCCTCTCTTCTGGGGCCCAGAGAGAAACAGTGACTTGCTAGAAGTTTCTTGTCGCTTGCTTCAAGCTACAGTGGAAGGCCTGTACTCCTAGGCTACGAGTTGCTGAACTTGTTAAATGAAAAGTCTTTGAAGGCATCTGTGGGTCAGAAGCAGAATAAACTACCAAGGAATAATCTGGACCAAGAGCCAAAGTCACTGAATTACTGAAAGACTGTGGGGAGTGTCCATCTGTGAGTGCAACCTTCTCCCATGGAAACTTGCCTAATGGATAAAGTAACGAAAGTGAGAACTAAATCTCCCGCTTTGGGCTGTCTGTGTCTGCCGGGTACATGAGGAAGTAGGAAGCCCCTGAATCAGTGCCAGCCTCGGTCGCCCAGGATGTAGAAACACACGGGCGCTGTCTGCATGCCTTTCACGCAGGTCCCAGCGGCCTTCCCCGGCCAAGGCGTCAGCAGGATGGAGGTGCTGTCTGTCTGCCCCATGCGGCCTGGCACACGGCCAGGTGCCTGCTAACCAGAGAACTGTTCTGTCTACTCCAGCCTCTGGCTCTCAGCCCCCACTGGGCACAGGAATACTACAAAGAGCACTTGGGGAACAGCAAGGTCTGTTCGCTTACCCTTCCTTTCAGAGAGTCCACTGTTCCTACCGAATGAGAATAGAAACCAGAGAGGCTGGACGGCAGCTGGAATGAGGCTTCCTCGTGTCTCTCCCCCAGTTGCTGAGGGCTCTGACTGATACCAAAGGCGCCCCCATTCGGGGAGACTTGCCATTCTCCCACTCTGAGCTTCCGGTGGATGGTCCCAGGCAAGCAGCCCTCCTGCCCAGTGCTGTTATTAGAACTTCATTGGGATGCTCGAGGCAAAGAGCATTTCTTATTGAGGACATCCTCGGCCCTCTGCCCTGGCCACCTCCCAGCTTCTTGCTGGAGAGATATCTTAACCTGGAGGACACAGGAGAGTGACAGAACCACCGCCTCTGGCTGCAAGTGCAACAGAGCCCTTGCCTGCCCCCTCACCTCTGCAGGAAGCTGTGATTACCACGATGTGAGATCTGTCCATCTGCCACTCATCCAGCTGTCCCAAGCCTGCGCCACCCATGGGCCATGTCCTCATCCATAGGCCAGACCCTGAGATTCCTGGTGACAGTTGAACCCTGTCTGCATCTCCTGCCCCTTCGCATCCAGGGGAGTCCCTAGACCCTTCAGCTGTACCCCATACTCTCGTCTGCCCCCCACCGCTGCCTGACTTGGCCACAGACCTTCCAACTAGTGGTGCCAAAGAATGGAACCCCCCTGCCAAGTAATGGCCAGGTCCCTTAGCTTGGCACATCTGTCCCACCATGGGGCCCGAGCTGGCCACTCTCTCCTCAGTCACCAGACCACTCCTCTCACCTCCATGGCACCCACTCAGCTGCTATCCACTTGCAGAAGAGCAATGCTCTGCACACCCTGGCAGACTCACCTTGAGGATTTACACGTGCTATGCCCACTAATGGGACCACCCTGCCCTCCCTCTCCATGTCTGGAAAACTCCTACTCGTGCTCCAAGCCTCAGCCCAAACTGCTGGGCCCTTCTTCCCTGAGTACCACGCCTGGCTTTCATCATGGCACTGGTCACCTCTATGCTTGGTTATTTCCTCCGCCAGACCCTGAGGCCCTGACCTGTCTGCTTCGTCTGTCCATCCTGCAAGTATTTGACACATAAACATCTGTTGAACACAAGTGGACTTAAGTTCCGAAATGTGTGCCCTTGGGACACATGTCCAGAGGGAAACAGTCGCATTCTCAGTAACACACGCGGCTGCCAAAGCCCAACTGTCAACTCTTTGGAGACAGCCCAGCCTGAGAGGAGGGAGGGAGAGTTTGCCTTCTTGGGCCAGGGGTAAGAAAATCAGACTGGCCCCAGCTGGACGTGCACCCCTTCTGTCTCAGGGATCAGAGGAGCTGACAGACCCCTCTCCTTCCTCAAAAAAAGAAAGGCCCCCCAACCCTTCACACCAGGGCTGACTGCGTGGGCGTGTGTCTGTGGAGTTTAGGCTTAGTTTAATGCTCTGCTATTGCTGGGGTGAAGTTCTTAATAATGTTTGAACAATGAATGTTGAATAATGTTTGAACATGGGCCCCACACTTTCATTTTGCACTGGGACCCACACACACCGTAGCCAGGTCTGCCCCCACGGCCAGCATGGCCCCCAAGAGGGCTACCTCTCATGGCTGCATGGCCGGGCCCGGCCCTCCTGAGTGCTCTGACGAGCTTTGATGAGCGGAGCGGACACTCTGTGCCAGCCTGTCTCTATCCACAGAAAACAAAACCCACAGCCCTTGCAGCAGAGCCAGGAGCCATGTGACCGTGGCCCTTGGACAGCAAGACAATAATGCCAGGACAGAAAGAAGGAAACTGACAGCCAGCCGGGAGGCTTGTCCTGGGACCACCAGCTCCCAGAGGAAGAGCTGTCAAAGGTGATCGGTGCGGAGAGATGAACTCCTCCTCTTTATTATTGTTTCCAATGCTCTAAAAATCATCCCAGTATATCAGAGATTTTTCACTTTCTCGAAAAACTGCCATTTAAAATCTTTTTCTAGGTTGGGTGTGGTGGCTCACGCCTGTAATCCTAGCACTCTGGGAGGCCGAGGCAGGCGGATTGCTCAAGGTCAGGAGTTTGAAACCAGCCTGAGCAAGAGCGAGACCCCGTCTCTACTAAAAATAGAAAGAAATTAATTGGCCAACTAAAATATATGTGTGTGTGTGTATATATATATATATATATAAAATATATATAAAAATTAGCCGGGCATGGTGGCGCATGCCTGTAGTCCCAGCTACTCAGGCGGCTGAGTGAGGATTACTTGAGCCCAGGAGTTTGAGGTTGCTGTGAGCTAGGCTGACGCCACGGCACTCACTCTAGCCTGGGCAACAAAGAGAGACTCTGTCTCAAAATAAATAAATAAAATAAAATAAAATCTTTTTCTGAATGGTTTCCCTATCCCAGCACAAAGCAAAACCTACACTACAGCGTCCGTCCGTACACAAGCAGCAATGACGCCGCCGTAAGCTTCCCTGAAGCTTGCAGTCCCAAAGCGCATGAGGCGTGAGGGGAAGGTGTGGATTCGACTCAGGCAGGGGGGTGTCTGGCAAGTGTCTCGGGCCCCCTCTGAGCCTTAGCTTTTAACACATAAAATGGAGAAGTGACGGCTACCGCACAGAGCTCTCTAGGAAGCAGAGAAGGCAGCAGTAACGCCCCTGCCGGGTGTGTTACAAGCTCACATTGAAGGTAACTAGGATGATTCCCTGTGGACCAGGGAGGCAAGGATTAGTGAGATGACCCGGTTTGGAGTGGAAAGACCTTGGTTTGGGCTGTGAGCCCAGTGCTTCTCACTGGGTGAGCTTGGGCAGGTCACCCACATCCCCAGATCCTGGGCGGCCACCCAGCAATGAGCGAGCGCCCGTCCCCGCCTGGCCGCAGGCTGCGTGAACTGAACGTGGTAGGGTGATGGCACTCAGTAAACTGTGTCCTCTCCATGGAGGCTGCTGTGCCTCATTGCCCTGCTTTGTGCTGACACCAGGCCTTTGAAAGAGCTGTCGGAGAACAGAACCACGGGCCCCGAGAAGCAGGAGAGAGGTGTGCAGGAGCTGGCTGCAGAGCCAGAGCGCCCTGGCTTTGAATTTTCACTCTGGAGCTTTCACTCTGGGGCAACTGGCTCCTTGTGCCTCAGTTTTTCTCATCTGTCAACATGAGTAACAATGTCTTCCTCAGGGGGAACTGGGTGGGGAACATAGACTCACTGTCTAGTCTGTTTCAGTCCTTCCTAAGACTAACTGCATTTCCCTCTTGAGTTCCATAAGGCACCCTAATACATGTATGATGATTTTCTCTTTTTCACATAAGGCAGCACAAATTGGCTTCAGTTTCTTGCATCTGAAAGAGTTCTGATTTTATGATCTCATTACCAACAAACATCAGTTCCTTTGGCCTCCCTGGTTTCTAGACAATTCATCATGATAGTTACTTGTCTCTTTTCCTTTTAAGAAAAGAACCAAATATAGAACTCCAGAAGCAGTCTGCCCCAGACAAACAAGAGTAGGATCTTTACCTCTGTCATTTCAAAATATTTCTATTAACACAGGCTCAGTTGGCAGTACTTTTTTTTTTCCTGAAGCAATTCTGGTTATTTGCATTGAGCCTTTGAGCCATTAGAACATGCCAGATAAATTTTTCTTTTACTATAAAACCAAGTTTCCTATATCTTAATAATATTGGGAACTAACATGTAAGATTTCAATCCAGCTCAATTCTGAGAAACATTTTTTACGTCTCAGTTTTCCTGCTTTCTAAGACAAGATGTTTTCTTCAGCTTGGTGACCTTCCACACATGATAAACAGGTTTCCCATGAGTCCAACCCCAACCAGTAGTGAACAGTAACACACAAGAGACATTTGGAACTTCAGTCCGGTCCTCTCTCCAGCGAAGGTTATTGACACTCTTAGAAAACATGTTTACTCTGCAACAAATCTGCCTGGCTGTGCTGTCGTCAACCATCTCATTTGTTTTATTCACAAGGATGTCATTAGAAATTGTTGAGCACCTTCCTGAAACCCAGCATCTTGCATGTGTTCCGTATCCCTGGTTAGATTGTACAGCCCTCTCCCCTTCTCGTCCACTGTACCTACTTCTGCAACTAAAGGGTTCCTTGTTTGGGTGTATTTCACACACCATTCTTCAGCTTTTCTGACACGCTGAAGCAAACATTCCACCCACAGATCTATAAAATTCACTTACATGTTGCTGGGTTTTTCTTTTTCTTTTTCTTTTTGGTTATTTCTGCCTCTTTCCTTTTGTTCATAGCTGTCTCTTTAAATCCTGTGACTGCAAAGCTTTAGTGCATTTTAAAAAATTTCATCTGGGTTGAGTAATCATTATAATGGATCAAAACATAAATAAATTTCAACTTTTGACCAGTATGAAAAATAAAAAGTAAAATGTTATTAGTGCCTCTTTAATGAGATGAGGCTTCCCCCTAAATAATTCATACGGATGTATAATATTGCTAAACAAGATGGGGATCAGTATCAATTACATTTCTATTTTTTGTTTGTAGAGATTTAAGCCCAAAAATCTACATTCATATACATGGAAATATGGGAAAAGGAGTTTTGTTACAGCAATGTCACCTTGTTCTATGAATGCCCTCTGCGTGAAATGCCATAAATAATCATGTGCAATGAATTATCACCTGCCAACTTGATCAGGCCTTCTTTCTAGCTTGTTAAAAGCAAAAGAAACTTGGAAGCAACCTGTCTTAGAAAAGGATTTGTTAGCCAGTCATTAGAGTCTTTCATTTTCCCGACCTCGATATCGTATTTTGAACGATGCCTTTGGTTGGTGCTGTGAGGCACCACCGTAAGATCTGGCAAGGGGGGAGGTGCGTCTGTGTGCTGTGCAGTAGGCAAAAGGCAATTGCCAAAAGGGATGGGCAAGGATCTACGGTGGACCATGAGGAAACCCCACGAGACCACGGCTGAGGCATAACCGGCCACACAGCTGCATCTCCTCGAGCTCTTTCCCTATAGCTGGGGGTAAGTTGGCTTATATTCACCTTGGCCACCTTTAGTGCTTAATGAATGCCCAGAGGATATACTAATTGGATTTTAAGGTCTCTATAATTTTTCTGTTTCCAACCAGATTCTTTTAAGTGTATGAGCGTTCCTTCACTGGCTTACTATTTCTGAGCAATGGAACTGTCAACAAAGCAAGTCAGGAATGGCCTCCCGGTCTGCTCCTAGCAGCAGGGACCTCCAGCAGCCATGTGGGCAGCTCTGCATCACCACCTGCCCGCCTCTGTGCCAGTGTCTGCATATTGTTCTCGCTGCCCACATATATCCACCTCCTGCTCCCACCCTCAAGAGCTTGGTGTGGCACACAGGTGCACATCTTTACACATCGTTTACATAAGCTTAAGCTGACAAGGCTTCTGTGCCTTCCACTGCTGTGGAGTCCTCCCTTCCATTTCATCGAATCAGAATGGGTGATGGTTCCTTCACATTTTACAGAAAGGAAAAGTGAGGGTCTGATTATCCAAGGTACAGAGCAAGTGCAGAAGACTAGGAATAAAAGCCAGGTCTCTTAGATTCCTGCCCAAACTCTTCCACCTGACTATAGCCCCTTCAAGCTAAGATGACAATGGTTTAAAACATCAAGGGGACAATGTCAATTTGAGAAGGTGGCAATGCACTGTGGGTGCCTGTTGACTGGGGCTGACAAGACCATCTGGGATTCTGAACACACACCGCAGGATGCTGAACAGGAAGACAGAACTCGAGCTCCTACGGGACTCTACTATGTCACAAAAGTTACCAGAACCCAGAGACTGATGACCAATGCTAACAAGAGCTCGTGTGAACCAGGGTGAGCACTTACCGTGTCCCCAATCTTCAGGCCCTCACACTTCCTCTGACCAGGGTAGGAGACACCATCCTGACAGGTGGCAGTGAAGAAGAGATTAAGATCTTCGGGCTGATCCCAGACCGACAGCTCCACTTTGGACCGGATGCTCTGGATGGAAAGAGAAAACAAAGCCCAACCGCTCAGTAAAGGCCACAGCCGAGGTGCACCCATGCTGGTTTTCTGATGCCTGCTACTCCCACTCGCTGGACCTGCCCTATGAGCATAGAGAACCTGCCAGGCGATAGTACCTGCTTCAAGGGGTTGTTAGGCTCTGTCCCCTGCTTGCCTCTCCAGAGCCACCTCCTGTCCCCACCCTCAGCCTCAGACATGCAGTCCTTCATATACTGCCATGTGCTCTCCTGGCTTTGGGCCTTCTCATGTGACCCTCTCTTCTCTCTCCCGCAACTAGTGCCTCGCCATCCTTCGGTGTCGGCCCAGAGGACATGTTCTCCAGGAAGCCACCCTGTCATCCTCACACTCACGCCCACCCCCATCAGGGGAGGGCCACATTCATGAGCTTGAAACTGCGCAACAAGGGAATCCAATCTCATGTGTGTATTATGTTCTCAAGAGAGTGAATGAAACAAAAATCTAGTCAAAATTACCCATCAGAAGAGAAAAAAATAAGACTGAAAACATAAAGTGTTTCAAAGGATGAGAGCAACAGGGGCTCTCACACTCTGCTGGGGGAGCGTGACTCGGCATGCCCTTTAGAAAACCATCGAACAGCATCCTCTGCAGCCCAAGCCAGCCTCGGACCCAGCATTCACCCTGGGATTCTACCCAACAGACATGCATGGGTCACCAAAAGACACAGGCAAGAATGCTTACAGCAACACTGTTTGTAATAGCTAGGATCTGGAACCTACCCCAATGCCTGTCAATAGCAGAATGTAGTAAAAATACTGTGGTATGTTCACATTGTAGAATACCATAGAGTAATGAGAAGGAACAAAATACAACTGCATGCAATGACATGGATAAATCTCAGAAGTATAACATTGCCAGAAAGAAGGCAGACACAAGGTATATCTTGTGTGTTAGTCTATTTATGTGAAATTCAAAAACAGGCAACATTAATGAGATAGTGATGGAAGAGGACATGGAGGGACTTTTGGGATAGTGATGGAAGAGGACATAGAGGGACTTCTTGGTGCTAGTAATGTTCTGTATTTTTTAGCTGGGTGCTGGATACTCAAGTGTATTTAGTTTGTGAAAAGTTTGTATAATTTTCTATATGTCTATTAGTTTAAAAAATTGTCCGTGAAAATATCTAAGGAAGATGCCACTCTGGAGACTGAGGAAAAAATAATTAGCTTGTGTTTACGGGTCATGATTTACCAAAAATTTAAAAACAACCATCAGTTTATACACCAAACACACAGTACAGCACATATGTGCTCTGAACCCAACCTCCACTGATGCCCTTCGGCCCTGCTCCCTTCTCAGGTGCACTCCAGGGGTATGGCTGCCGACCGGAACGGCAGGCAGACTTGCCTCTTGCTCTTAGAAGTTGTCTTTTCTTTCTTTCTCTTTTTTGCTGAGCATGTAGTGCTAAAGTTGAATAAGTGAAATATGCAGTTTTCCTAGCAAATTAACAGTTTGTTGAAAATATTCTCTGCAAAAAATAGTCTCTCCCTTTGCAACAAATCGTCTAAGTGCTTCTACAACTAAAAATACCATCCTTCTTAAATCCACTTCCTCTTGTAAGTGCCAGCCTGAGCTGGCCAAGGGTCACAAAAGCACCACTCAACACACACAGCACTTTCCTGGGGCATACGATTCGTTATTTACAGATCTGTCTTCCCCACTGCATTGTGAATTCCAGGGGCCATATCACATGTCTCTCTGGGACTTAGTGCAATCTCTTGTTGAGTGAATGAATGGCTGGATAGAAGGATGGATGCTGTAATGACAGCTATACTAAGGGGCATAACTTTTTTTTTTTAAAGACAAGGTAAATTTTAAAATATATATTTATAATTTTGAATAAGTATGACAATGAGATAAAACAGTATATCATAAAAGAGCTAGGCAGATTGAAGGTACATAAAAAATTATTTGGGAACAGTCACACAGTTCACAAACAAAACCCTGGAAGGAAGCATTGACACTCCCCAGCAAGATCTGCTGGAGCTGCCACGTGAAACCCTTAACGGAGGATTTGGCAGAGGGAGAAAGCACTAGAAACTGGGGCTCCTATTCTACAAATCAGCAACTATCATGGGAAGGAAATGGAATCCTGTGTTCTACTCAGACCTTCAACGTTCTACTTGTGTTCTGATCTAAGTCTGTATTATTCCTGTTCCCCACAGAGTCTCTGGAATCAGAAACTCTTAAGATTTTACAGGTGGCAGGAACCGTGGCGATGATTCAGTTCAAACCACTCATTTATGGAAGCAGGCCAAAGAAAAGGCCTCGTCCAGGGTCACTCAGCTGCCAGAGGCAGGCAGGACGAGAAGCAGGCCTTCTCCACCCCTCCCGTGCACGCCTGATGCGCACTTCCTTCTTTGGAAACCAGCTCTCTGACTTTGGGAAGAGATCACCAGGTTGTGTCCTGGTTGTAAGGGTCAGTCTTCCCCAAAGGACTATGAGTCCTGGAGAGCAGGCCTGCGTTTCGTTTACTGCTTTATTGCCAAGGTGATGCCTGCCACACGTTAGGCTGTTAATATATATTTGTTGAATGAATGAATGAAGTACAGGATATAACAGAGGATCAAAGCCACAGGCAATGCAGTTCCTACACGTGAAGACTTCCATGTGTGACTCCTGAAATCCAATCATCTCCTACCAGATTTGCCCCTGAAGATGATTCCTTACTCCTCACATAGGAAAAGGAGACCATGTCAGGAATGTCAGAAGTTTAAAGCCTATTCAGTCCTCGGTCAGGTTAGGTCACATCTGCAATTGCTTTAAGTCGGGCCAGCTGTGGAGTGGGTGGGAGCAGACTTCATGGCAACACCAAAAAGAGAAACATGTGCTCTGCTATGGGAAAAATACACCCCGGCTTCTGATGTCACCCTCCACATGCAACTCTGGTGGCTTCCGGCTCACTCTGTTCGTTCCCACTCTGAAAAGAGGCCGCTGTGATTTCTCTTTGAGTCCCAACTCCCCTTTCTCAGTGTGGCACGATGTCCATATGCTCCGTACGTGTGGCCCCGGGGCCACACTGGGCTCTGGGAGAGAACCTCTCACCAGCACCACGGAGCAAAACCACACTGCCCCACTCCCTTGGGAGGATGTGGTGACTTCTCACAGCAAGACAAAACATATAAATCAAAGACTCAGAGATTTCACACAGTGGAAGATGTATACACCAGACTTCATTCTACAGGACATTAAATCAAACATAGCCTTTCCATTTTGCTCCCTCCTCAGCCCGGCCAAATACCACAGCTATTTCATCTGCTACATATGCTCCAACCAAAATCTTTTCAGAATGTCCCCACAGATCGTTTGCCAGCATGCTAGGGGAGGTAAAAGTCAACACCCACACTTAGTCATGTGCTGTATGACTCATACAATCCACGACAAGCTGCTCAGATGCTAAGGTGACACAGAGACTGCAGTGCAGACAGAGCTGTGATGGGACAGGCCCTGGCCCGACAGAGAAGCAGGTGAACTGATAACCAGGGCTAATGAAAGCCTTTATTGCTGGCCAAAGCTCACCCTACACATGCCGGAGGTCTGTGCTAGGCTCAAATTCAGTAAAAAGCTGGACATTGCAGCTTGCACCTGTAGTCCCAGCTACTAGGGAGGCTGAGGCAGGAGGATCACTTGAGCCCAGGAGTTTGAGGTTGCTGTGAGCTACAATGACACCACTGCACTCTACTCAGGGAGACAGAGTAAGACTCTGCCTCAAAAAAGGAAAAAAAAAAAAACAGAAAAAGTGCAAGGAGCTTGAAGCCCAGGCTTGGGCCTTCCTGTTGGCAGGAAGCAGCAGCAAGGAAGACAGTTATTCTGAAGGCAAAAGCAAACCATTTTCCTACTTGTCCTCTCACATGCCACTCAACACACCACTTCTGACGCCAGATGTGCGGAGGCAGTTCCTCACGCTCCATGCAATTCTCCAGCAGGTACTGGCTGGGTATCCTCCAATTCTCACAACTACCTACCCAGAGAGAGCGTCAGATCCCGAAGGTTAAGGGCTCAGTACCACAAAATTGCCCCCTACCTCAGGTGCCAATGAGAAGTAGCAGGTTGTCACCTATACTTCTTACGAACTGGCTCTACATTGGGGTACCCACTACCTCCTCCCTCGTGTTTGATCAGTTTGTGAGGATGGTGCAGAGAACTCAGGGAAACACTTTACTTGCATTGACTGGGATATTGCTAAGGATGTAAAGGATGCAGATGAACAAGTCCGTGAAGGAAATACACAGGGCAAGGTACGTGACACGGGCTCAGAGCGCCCAAGCCCTCCCTGGGCGAGCCACCCTTCAGGAACCTCCACATGTTCATATCCCGAAGCTCTCTGAACCCAGGCCTTTCGGGTTTTCATGGAGGCTTCATGACATAGACATGATGGATTGCATCATTGGCCACTGGTGATCAACTCAACCTTCAGCCCTTCTCCCCTCCCAGGAGGTCAGGGGATGGGGCCAAAAAATTCCCAACCCTTGAATCATATGGTTGGTTCCCCTGGCAACCAGCCTCAACCCTGAGGTTATTTGGGAGTCCACGGAGAGTGACCTCATTAGAACAAAAGATGCTCCTGTCACCCAGGAAATCACAAAGGTCATAGGAGCTCTGCGTCAGGAACCAGGGCCAAGGACCAAATATTAAGGCAAAGAATTCTCCTAGTCCCCTTATCTGCAACGGTTTTTAGGAGCTTTATATCAGGAAGTAGAGACAGAGATCAATATATATATTTCTTATTATACCACAGTTATCGCAGGTTCTAATCAATGCAAGAAGCCAACATACCCCAACATGGCTTCCACCAACAAGACTGCTCCAAATACCTTGAAGTTTCACATCTCTAGATTTAATATATTTCTTTTAAATTTAGGCTGCAGGGAGGGGTGGAAGTAGGGAATTACTAAGGGTCACAACATTTTGGAGTGATGGACATGTTCAATTTCTTGATGGTGGTGAAGGTTTCATAGGTGTATACATGTGTCAAAACTCATCAAATTGTACACTTTAAATCTGAATAGTTTATTGTATGTTGATTATATTTTAATAAAGCTTTTTAAAATTTCCCGATGAATTGGAACAGTTATTTTTTTTTTGAAATTTTATACTTTTTTCTTAAATTTTTTTTTTTTTTTTTTGAGACAGAGTCTCACTCTGTTGCCTGGATTAGAGTACAGTGGCATCATCATAGCCCACAGCAACCTCAAACTCCTATGCTCAAGTGATCCTCTTGCCTCAGCCTCCCCAGTAGCTAGGACTACAGGTGTGTGCCACCATGCCCGGCTAATTTTTCTATTTTTATTTTTATTTTTGAGACAGAGTCTTGCTTTGTTGCCCAGGCTAGAGTGAGTGCCTTGGCATCAGCCTAGCTCACAGCAACCTCCAACTCCTGGGCTCAACCAATCCTCCTGCCTCAGCCTCCTGAGTAGCTGGGACTACAGGCATGTGCCACCATGCCCGGCTAATTTTTTCTATATATATTGGTTGGCCAATTAATTTCTTTCTATTTATAGTAGAGACGGGGTCTCGCTCTTGCTCAGGCTGGTTTTGAACTCCTGACCTTGAGCAATCTGCCCGCCTTGGCCTCCCAGAGTGCTAGGATTACAGGCGTGAGCCACCAGCACCCGGCCTAATTTTTCTATTTTTAGTAGAGACAGGGCCTCGCTTTTGCTCAGGCTGGTCTCGAACTCCCGAGCTCAAGCAGTCCTCCTGCTTCAGCCTTCCAGAGTGCTAGGATTACAGGTATGAGCCACAATGCTGGGCCTAAATAGTTATTATTGATAGTATTCTAGTAATCACTCCTTTTTAAGAGCTGATTTTCAAATGTTTTTCAAAAGCCATATGCTTCATTTCATAACATATTTTCTTTCAGGGACCATTTTAACTCACTGAGTCAAGCTATAGTAAAGCTACGTTCCCACAGTTCCTCAGGGGATCCATTCGAGGTTCCGAATGCAGCTCTAGCCTCCACAGATCATGTTCTGTTCTCACTCCCGCACGCAGCCTACTCCTCGGCAGAAGGAGGGCTCCTCTCCTGCCCTCTGCTCATCGCACAGTGTTTTCCCTTCTTGCTCCCTGACCCTGGCTCCCTGGATTTCCAGTAAGAAAATGAATTTATATACAACAACCCCTGCTCAGGGCAATGCCACATATATCAGAGAAAGAACACCACGAAGCATTTATGAGATCCAGTCCAGGGAATCAGTAACAACGCCTCTGCTGCCTGGTTTTCAGTGGTCCCAAGATGAACATGGACACGCCAAGCCACTCAGCCACGTGACACGCAGGCTGGGCCCAGTGCCTTCCGGCTCCTGTGGCGTCCAGCCAGTTTTATGCAACTGTGTGCCATGATGCTCTCCTTCATCAAAGCCGCCAGGAGCAGAGGGCCCGGGCCCTCACCAGCAAACGCTCTTGGGGCAGCCCCAGAGGCCTGCCCGCCGCCCAGGGGTATGGGCTCTGGAGGGATACTGAGGGAGGAAATGACATGACGGGAACCTCAGCCTGAGCCCAGACAAAGTCCTCACACCAGGACGGGGCTGTTGTCAGCAGTTTCTTCCCAAGGCCCTGACTCAGCAGGAGGAAAGCTGTGGTCACCCCACCCGTGAACGTGGGTCCAGCAGCAGTGTCCCCTTCTGCACCGAGGGGTCGAGAGCCCCAGCATCCTCAGAGGGCAGAGGAGACCGGCGCAGGGCACGCTTCAGTGCCCAGAGCTGGAGATCCAGGAGGGTCACGGTGGGAGCCCCGGGAAAGACAGGACCTTCGACCCCCGGCAGGCCCAGCCCCTCCCCCCACACAGACGCTCCCTCTGCACGTTACATCTCAGCAGGTCTGTGGTGCTACCAGACTGGGCACACGTGGCCTCCTCCTCCTGAAATGCAAACTAAATTACTCCCTGTGGAAATCTGTAAACCACTGGAGTCTAAAGTGAATTTGGGACCCCGTCTCACTGGGCTCTGGGTCCTGAGGAGGCCACGGGATCTGGTGAGAACCTGAAGCCCAGAGGTCAGAAAAGAGGATGTGAGGACATGGGAGTGGGGCAGGAGAGGGACAGGGACTCTTCCATCTCTTTCAACAGGAAGTTCCAGGAGCATCAGCATCTGTGAGAGGTAGACGACCCTTAACTACAACAGACGGGAGGGTGGAGAAAGGAGGGAAACCAGCCCCAAGTCCTCCCTGCTGCGCGACCTGTCACCTTTAGGACGCCAAGGCTCAGGGACGCTAAGTGTAGGGCTGGCCACGCCCCACGCTCTGGGGTTGTCCCAGTGCTGAGACATCATTACCTAGTGGCCCTGGTCTAGCCGAGCATGTACTTTGTAACTCAAAACAGGCCACATCCACAGGGGACAAAGTCAGCACTGGGAAAGGCAGGAATCCAAGTGCTCACCTGTAAGCCAGTCACTGCTGGGAAAGCGAGGTGATTTTTCTCACAGATATGATGTCATATAGGTTGGTTAGGTTCCCAGGTGGGCCCACACAAACCTATTTTACATAAGTTTAGGACTAATGTCACTTAAACCATGCTTAGTAGTCTAGGTACACCTTTGTTTCAACAGGGAGATGTAGTCTGAATGCCAGTTGGGAAATGACCTGACCCCTCTGGGGTGGGCGGGCACTGGAAGCGACACCACACTGGGGCCGAGGAGAGTAGGGAAACCGAGGGCACGCCCTCCCCAGCACAGAGGTCGTGCGTGCCGCCTTCCCGAGTGAGGCGCTTCTTGGATGTTAGGAATTGAGGGAAAGGAGGGTAGGAAGGAAAAGGTTCGGGAAGTGATTCCGTGGCTTGGGATACGGTGGTTACTCTTAACCCACGTCTACGGGTGCTCGACCTTGCTAGGTTAGGGACAAGTAACAGGATGAGCTACGACAGCACAGGATTCAACAGGCGCACTCGGGGCCCCTCTGAAAGGACCTCATCACAACCGGACCCCAGGTACGCAGACAAAACACTGACTGTTGATTCTCCTTGGATTCTTCTATCCCAGGCCAGTCTGGAGCTCTGGGCTGAGCTCCCCGAGCAAGACAAACTCCCACCTGGGAGGGGAGGTGAGCGCGCCCGCGGCTGGCGGCACTCTGCGCCCCCACACAGGGAATGCAGGGCAGGGTCAGCCCCGGCAACTGCTTGGTGGGAAACAGTGCGACCCAGCCACGAGTGGCCTGAGTCCGAATGAGCCGTGTGCCGGCTCTCTGAGCCCAGCTGAGGACGAGGGTGGAGATCACAGAGGTGAGGGAGGCGAGGGATGACCTTCTCCACCCTGACCCTGAGTGAAGGAGGAGGATGTCAAACTCGGGGGGCCCGGGGTGGGGGGCCCAGCACACCAGTACAGTGTGCTGTCACCTGAGCCCACACCAGCTCCGGCTTCAGTGGCAGCAGGAGGAATGGAGGTGGGAAGAAGCTGGTGACTTACATTGTACGCATTGACGATCAGCTGAATAACATTTTTGGAGTCTCCGTGTAAAATCTCCACTGTCGTTCCAGGTATCAGGGCTGTAAAATTCTTGAAAAGAAAAGAAATAAGTCCATTTGACCTTCTGCACCGTCAGAGTGAACACTGCTCTGCTGAGCTGGAACAGGACAGGCTCCAGCACTAAATCCTGCCACTTTCTGGCACCATAAACTGAAGCCGATGCCACCGGGAAATGCAGGAACTGGCCCAGGAGACCAGCGGCAGCAGGCTGGGGACTCTCCACCCCACAGACCTGACAGGAAAGGGCTGCCGAGGTCTCTCCCCAACGTGTGTCTTAAGACCTCTCCCCTCTGGCGTGTCACGACCAACTCTCTGCCAGCGTATCCTCTGGGGTCCACAGCTCCTGGTGATTTTCCTGCCCTCTCTCCCTGGCCCATGTAGGTATTCTAGGTTCAGCCTCAACGATGCACCCCATCTGCTCAGCAGGAGGAAGGGTAACTTTTCCAAGGGTCTCAGATTCGGCCTGTTTTAAAAGGGAACCTAGATATGAACACACCCCCGCCCCAAGACCTCTAGATACCTGCGTGAGCCTGTGGCAAAGGGGCAGCCTTACAGCACTTGCCTTCCCTCTTCATCTGCACCAACCTGAGTGTGTCACTTACAACAGTGGCCGGGGCAGCCACTGCCCTCAGCCTGCACTGCACTGGAAGGGCCTCCTCCCCCGAGCAAGGAGTACTGGGTCTGAGGAAGGATGGCTTAAGCCAAGGTGGATTTGTCCCCACTTGAAACATCTGGAAGCCCAGCACAGTCTGTGCAGTTGATCCCTCTACACATGTTATTTGTAAATGAATGGGCTTTATTTTGCTATCGTCCCCTAAACAAAAAGAAAAAAATAATCCTCTTGTTTTCATCTTCTGAAACCGACTCAGACTAAAGGAAGATAAAGAACTCAAGAGGATATAAGTGACATCTTATCAGTGATAAACTCAGGCAGGAGCAACAGAAAAACACAGACAGACAGAGGTTGTTTTGTGGGTATTTCAGAGCAAGGGGAGGGGACCAGGGCTGGCTGCTTGGGGGTGAGGATGGAGAGGGTTGAGATTAAGTTCTCACAAGCTCTCAGTTGAAAGGATGTCAGAGCTGAGCCGGGCTTTACTCTTAGCTTACATACGCACCCAGAGCAGATTTCTAGCTCAAAATGTGACTCGTCTGTGTTGTGAGAAAGCACGTTCATGAGGAAAGTATATAGCAATGGCCCATGAGGCAATGCATGATAGCTCACACTTGTAACCCCAGTACTTTGGGAGGCCAAGATGGGAGGATCACTTGAGGCCAGGAATTTGAGACCAGCCTAGACAACACAGTGAGACCCTTTTTGTAAAAAAAAAAGAGACCCTGTCTCTTTAATTTTTTAAAAAATTAGCCAGGCATAGTGCATGTGCCTGTAGCCCCAACTACTCAGGAGGCTGAGGCAGGAGGATCCCTAGAGCCCAGGAGTTTGAGGCTACATGAGGCTACAGTGAACTATGATCACACCACTGTATTCCAGCCCGGGTGACAGAATAAGACCCTCTTAAAAAAAAAAAAAAAAAAAAGGTTACCTGGTATCACAAGATAAAGCCTCAAATGTACACTAGATGAAATTCTCCATGAAACACCTCATTCCAGTAGGTACAAATTTGCCCCAATTTAGTGATGGCTCATGGGATGACCCAGGAAAAGTCTCTTCAGGTGGAAGACACTAATACACAGACTGCTCTATTCACTCAGAATGCTGATTGTTTTCTCTGGAAATTCCTGTCTCAGACTAGCCCACGGCCTCCCGCATTCTGCAGGCTGAGGCATAAGACCCTGGAAAGCTGCTATTAGTGGTGTAGCCTGATAGGTGCCTTATTTTTCTTATTGCATATTTTCATGTTATATTTTCCTTCCCTATTAGAGTGGGCTTCTTTGTGTTTCTATTTTGCCACCTGAAAAATGGGAATTCATACTATTTTCCAGGTTTTTCATAGGGTCAAATGGGAATTCATACTATTTTTCATGTTTTTCATAGGGTCAAATTAGACACTCTGTTTAATTCCTTGTAAAGGTATTCACTGCTATGTGAATGCTTAATGGCTTTCTTAATACTATTATTTCTACTAGATCAAGACAGAGCTACAGTCCACCCCTCCTTTGAGTCTCCCCCATGCAGAGTAGGTCTGTAAACACTCCTCACCCCCCACTTCACTCCACCCCACGTTCACTCTCCCATCCACCTTAGGGTCAGCATGGCCCCAGAGTCAGGCCACAGCCTCCCTCCCTCCTGGCATACCTTGTAGAGCATATAATGGTTTTTTGTCACTGCAAAGATGAGGTTGATGTTGTTCTCTGCCAATTTCTCTCCAAGCAAGGCAAGGGATGGATAGTCCTAGGGCCAAGGCAAAAATTAAGGCTATAACATTTCTAACGGCGAGAGCCTAGCACTGGCTCCAATACGCACTCAGCAGCTCGGCACTTGCCACGGAAAGTACTTTCCCAGGCCCCATAAGCCCCTTTATAACCACGCTCCGTCAGCAGCCCCTGAACTGAGAAACTGAGGAGACCCTCAAGGAAAGGACCCTCTGGTACCCAGCAAACTAGATCCCTCCCCCGCCCCTCCCACCCTGGGTGGAGAAGAGATGAGGGGAGGCTTCCGTGCCTGGCCTGTCCCCATCCTTCCAGCAGGGATGGGACGAGTGGGGAGGCCCTGAAGAGAACATCCTACCGTCTGCCACCAGCACTTGTTACCTAAGACTTCTCCTCCCTACCTCCTTGCCCTGTTTCACTTTCCTGTGGCCGGCGGTTACGCCTGTCAATGTCCCCCACAGGCCTGCTCGGTCCTGCTCCTGGCTCAGAATGGGCAAAGAGGCTGCCGACCTGGGACTAGAAGTTAAGCCATTGATGGGGTACAGAGAGGGTAGGCAGGGAGGAGGCTGAGGGGCAGCTTCACAGTGCCCTTGAGGATTGTGAGGGCTGATAATGGAGACAAGTGAGTTTCTGTAGTTAGTCTTTCTTCCAGACTCCATTATTCCTGGATAACATGGAAGGCTTGGGCACTGACCACCTCTTCAACCTGGACAAGACAGGCTTGTCTAGGAAAGAAAATTGAGAATTCCTCTCTAGCCAGAAAGCAGAATGGATTTGAGAAAGAAAAGGGTGTAGATTTTCTGAGGAAAAAAGATCACATGGTAAGTGTGGCAAGATGCTGATAATTGCTGAGTCTGAGAGATGGGTATTTAGGGGTTCATTCTTACTGGTCTATTTTTATATGTTTGAAATTTCGCATAAATTCTTTTAAATTGTATAGTGTGGTCGTAGATGATTGGGAGTGGAAGGTTCTTGGTGCCTCCGTTCCATGCAGGATGCCTCTGCCCACTCCTGACACTGACGGGAAACTCACCACCCCAGGGAGCCCGTGTGTAGAAGTCGGCAAGTCTTGCCCTGTGACACCTTCTCAGTTGTGACTGCTTCAGGAGCACAGTCCCCATCCCCCTGTAGGATCCCCTCTCCCCTATGAGAGCTACCCTTTTTCCCCTGGGTCGCCTCTCCCCCCAGCTCATTTAGGTGCACAATGGCAGAAAGACGAACCAGTCTCAGAAGTCCCTGAGGAATGTTCTCAGCGAATGAGGAGTTCTGGACATTCAGCTGGAGAAGAGGGAATAATGAAACCCAATTCCAGGGATGGATCAGAAAGCCGGCCAGCACCAAGGGTCACAGGAAGGTTTCAAGGCCAGGTGAGCACTTGGACCTTGGCAGGGTCACAGGAGGGGTGTCGGGGAGCCCCTGGCCCTCACCATCTGGTTGGACGCGGTGTACTCGTTGGCCTCGTTCAGGTGGCACTGGCCATCGTGTGGCTGCACCAGGCCCCCCAGTTTCCCATCCAGCGCGATGTGGGGCACGTCGTCCGTTGTGAACACCAGCAGATGCAATGCATCCTTTCGCCAGCCGATCTTCTCCTGAGGGACAGAAGGTGGATGGGTACAAAGTCGCCCTGCCCAAGCCTGCTCTGGGGCATCAGATGAGGCACTGGCCCATCTCCAGGGAACAAGGTCTGAATCAGAGGCATTCCCCTTGCTGTGCAAACCTGGGGCACACTCATAAAACCACTGGGGAGGGATTTCCAGAGGCTTGGAAGAGACACAGCCTGGAACTGAGAAGCCCTAGATGCACAGAGACAAATCTCCAAGCCTTTGCCCACACAGGGCCATGTGCCTGGAGCCCCCTCTCTCTAGCCCATCACTCTCGTCCCTGCTCCTTTCAGTTATATCTGAGGGCTGCTTCTCTCGGGCACTTCCCCTTTTTGTTTCACCTAATACCTTCCCCATAACAACCTTTAATGCCTGCCCCCACCCCTCACCCTCCCCATCAACACACTCTAGTTGGCTGTGCTTGTCTAAGTTGATGGTTAAATGAACACGTCACTCCTACCATGAGACATGAGTCACTCAGAACAGTGTGCTCAAATGACCAAGTCTGTGTTTTGATGTTTGGTAGAACTTGCCATCTATTCTAGCAGCATGGAAATAAAAAAATAAATCACAAGAAGTCAGAGCAACACGAAGGGGAAAGGGGGTTTGCAAAGCAGCCAGTGAAGACTGACATTTTGAGCAAAGATGTTAACCTTTTGGGGATCAGTTTCCTAGACATTCAAATTCATCCACCGTACAATTACTGATCTCCTACCACATGCCAGGCCCCATAGAAGGCCCTGGGGCCACAGGAAAGCTTGTTCCAGACCTCGAAGGGCTTGCAATCACACAGAAACAGCAACTTTAATACACCATAATGTGGGTTAGGAAATGCAATGTCAGCGGAAGCCAGGGAGAGGAAGAGGAGGGAAAGGCTTCCCAGCACAGATAACACTTAAGCTGAGCTGGAAGGATGAGGAAGACACTTTGAGGAAGCTGGTATTAGAACTGAGAAGGGAAAAGGTAGAGAGGGTGGGCATTCCAGGCACTAGCAACAGCAAACAGAAACGAGTACAGCTTAGGGACTTGGAGGAAGAAACCTAGAAGGTCCCTTCAGGCAAGGAAAGGATAAGCCATGACAAAACTTTATGGTGCGGAAGGCGGGGTAGTGGTTCGTTCCTCTTTCTGGCAGGATTGGGAGAGGTCACAAAGAGGCTTCCAGGGTGCGCTAATATTTCTTGAGTTGGTATTTTCGCTCTGTGAACGTTTATTGAGATGTACTCTTACACATAGTTTTCTGTGTGTATATTATATTTTGATAAAGAGTTTAAGATTTTTAAATAACTAAAGCAATGCATTTTAAGCCATGGAATATGGAGAAGAGGGGGCCAGACACTTGGGAGATAAAGCACAATCAAGAGAGAGTATAAACCAGCAAGCAGGGTTTTTGCAGGAAAAAGTGTGGCTCTGCTATCCACAGGGCTATAGCCATGTGCTAAACACCCTAGCAAGAAAGTAGAAGACCAACCTTTAATTTGATAAAGTGTATTAAGAACCTTAAGGAAAATCAGAGACCTAAATAAATGGGCAGAGATATCATTTTTATAATTAGAAGAGTCAATGGTATTGAGATACCATTTCTCCACAAATTAATTTGTAGATTTCACAGTCACAATTAAAAACTCAGAAAGTCTTTTTGAGAAAATGACACTCATTCTCAAATTTATATGGAATTGTAAACAATGAAGACTAGCAAAACAATTTTGAAAAAGAAGAACAAAGTTGGAAGTCTTATTAACTAAGGTCAAGACTTCTTACAAAGCTACAGTAACAAGATAGTGTGGTATTGACAAAAGGTTAGACACACAGATCAGTGAGACCAGAAATAGACGCATATATATGCAGTCAATTCAGCACATGACACTGGAGCAAGCGGACATTCACATGTAAAAAAATGAAGTTCAACCCAACCCATACCTCTCATCATATACAAAGATTAACTCAAAGTGGATCTAAATGTAGACCTAAGGCTATAAGACTTCTGAATGAAACATAGGAGAAAACCTTTGTGACTTTGGTATTGGCAAAGATTTCTTAGATGATTCATAGGATAAAAAATTAATGAAGTAGACTTCTTCAAAACAAAACTTCTGTTCTGTGAAAGATACTGTTAAGAAAATAAAATGACAAGGCACAGACGGGGAGAAAATATTTGCAAAAAATAAAAATATAATAAAGAATTTGGGCTGGGTGCGGTGGCTCACGGCTGTAATCCTAGCACTCTGGGAGGCTGAGGCAAGAGGATCGCTCAAGGTCAGGGGATCGAAACCAGCCTGAGCAAGTGAGAGATCCCATCTCTACTAAAAATAGAAAGAAATTAATTGGCCAACTAAAAATATACATATAGAAAAAAATTAGCTGGGCTTGGTGGCACATGTCTGTAGTCCCAGCTACTCAGGAAGCTGAGCCAGGACTGCTTGAGCCCAGGAGTTTGAGGTTGCTGTGAGCTAGGTTGAAGCCATGGCACTCTAGCATGGGCAACAGAGTGAGACTCTGTCTCTAAATAAATAAACAAATAAATGATTTGTATCCAGAATATATAAAGACCTCCTATAGGCCAATAATTAAAAAAACCAAACTGAATGAAAAGTGAGGTCAAAATGGTCAAGTGCAGTGGCTCACACCTATAATCCCAGCACTCTGGGAGGCTGAGGCAGGATGATTGTTTGAGGTCAGGAGTTCGAGAATAGCCTGGGCAACATAGCAAGGCCCCATCTATACAAAAAAAATTTTGAAAATTAGCCTAGCATGGTGGCCCATGCCTGCAGTCCCAGCTACTTCGGGAGGCTGAGGCTGGAGGATCGCAGGCCACAGAGAACTATAATGGAGCCACTGCACTCCACCCTGGGCTACAGAGCAACACTGTCTCAAAAAAAAAAGTGGTCAAAAGATTTAAACAGACAATTCATCAGAAAAGATATATGAATGAAAATAAGCACATGAAAGAATCTGCAACATCATTAGTTATTAAGCAAATACAAATTAAAAGCACAACGAGATAGCCATTAGACAGCTATCTAGATGGAAAGCAAACAATCCCCGATAACATCAAGTGCTGATAAGGACGTGGCACAACTGGGACTTTCACAGTTGTTGGTGAGAATATGAAATGTTTCAGCAACTTTGGAAAACAGTTTGGCAGATTCTTAAGAAGTTAAATATACACTTACTATCAATACAGCAGTCCTACCCTTTGGTATTTACCAATGAGAAATGAAAATTTATGCTCATATAAAAACCTCTATGCAAATATTCATAGCAACTTTATTCACAATTAGAAACAATCCAAATGTCCATCAGGTAGTGAACACATAGACATATTGCAGTATATCCATGCAATGAAATGAACTTGGCAATAAAAAGGAACAAATTACTGATACACACAAACCATGGATGAATCTCAAAAGTACTAATAAACCTGACTCAAAGGGCAACCTACTGTCTAATCCCATTCATAAGGTATTCAGGAAACGGTCAACAACAAAGGCACACTAGAAAACTTCCTGGGGTGATGGAAATAATCTATATCATAATTGTGGGAGTGGCTATAAGACTTTTACATCTAAAAAGGGTAAATTTTACTCTATATGAATTATCCCATGATAAACCTAACTTTAAAAAATCCTTTAATAAGTATATGTATCTTTGACTCAGTGATTCTACTTTAGGGTGTACCCACAAGAAGTATTCTAAAATATGCACAACAGTATTTTTGCTAATAGTGAGAAAAAGGGAAAGACATGAATATCCTGTTATGTGGGAAAAGGTAAGTAAACTGAGATATCTCCTCTACAGCCATTAGAAATTATGATCATGAAAAGCATTCATTATATGCAAACATGTATACTATAAAGTGAAAACAAAGAATACAGCACTGTATTTGCAGTGTGATTAAAAACTACGTAAGAAACAAACATAACTCTATTAACAGAACAAAATACACCATTATGTGGTTGGGGTTGGGGTTATTTATGGGTAATCTTTTCCCCTCTTTCTCATTATTTTCCAAACTGTCTTTCATAGCAGGCCTGACTTTTGCTAGCATGGGCTCTGAATGTGGCTCTGTCCATTTCCTCAATGCTACCTTCTTAAGGGTCTTGTGGGGACCCAAAGGGGGTTGGGCACCAAGACAGAACAACACGGAACTCGGGTGCCTTATGATGGGCATTTGGATCCTGGTGCTGCCCCTAATTGCCCAAATTATTCAACCCCTCAAAAGCTTTTTTCTTCTCAGTAAGACAGGAATAATAATACTTAAGACATATGGAGCCCTTCCATTATTCCACTGAGTCTTCACTGCAACCTTGTGAAGCACAGCCTTGCCATCTTGCAGGCGAGGACACCAGTGTCCAGGGAGACGAAGTAACCAGCCAGCTCAACTAGCAAGGGCCAGGGAGGCCAGATTCAGATGACCGGACTTTTGCCCACAGTCATATAGGGAGAGGAGGCTACATCTGTAATAAATGAGATATTTAATAATTCATAAAGTGCCTGGTTCATGGTAGGCTCTCAACTGGTGACTGTCAGATCCAAAAAATTAATGTTTGTCAAATGAAAAGTTGCATCTGAAATGGAAATCGCTCCACCAGGGAAGAGCGGCACACCATAAAAATAATAATTCTGCTTTCTCGGAAATGGGCTCTTGTTATGTAAGTGCTATTAACAAATTTGGCCCAGATGTTCTGCTGCAGCAAAGGAGTCCAGACATGCTTATTCCGTCACCCAGCCTTTCAGGCATGGAGGTTTTGTGAGTGGTGAATTCACGGAGTATTTGCATTAAAAATAATTTCCCTACTGCCTGCTTGGTTGGCCAAGCTATCTGTTTTGAAGGTTTAAACTCTGTATTCAATGTTTGGGGGTAGGAAGCAATAGTGGAAAAATGCACTTTTTTTAAAAAAAGGAAAACACTAAACTGCAAATTGAATATGGCATGAGGGCCAGAGTATGTGAGCTTTGGAATAGAGGAGTCGGAGTTCAAATCCTTGCTT